CTGTCAAATATTTAATCTTCTCATGATACTTTTTTGTTCAAAAATTTACATTTGTGATTTTGGAGTTATCAGATCCAAATTTCTGTCTGGCTTTCAGTCTCCTGTTACATGAGTAGATCCCACCTGTCTGAATTATCTCGTGCTGGTGGGATACTCCTTAGTGAGTTACACTGCAAACTCAAAGGTTGTACATTTCTGCAAATTCACCAGCAGCTACTTGGGAGAGAGATGGGCTGTCATCCCCTGGTGCATTTCCAGCCTTGGAGACCTACTGGGGGGCGGTCACTGTGAGTCGGAACTGACCCAGTGCTAGTGAGGGAGGGAGTGACAACACCACAAAAGAATGGCTTTAGAAAGCGGAAATGGCTTTCCTCAGTTTAGCAATGTAGAAGCCCACATTAGGGCAATGTCTCTTGAGGAAGGCTTTGAGTCTCAGTTGGCTTTGAAGGAAAGTCCTCGTCTTTGATTGCCTTGCCTAGTCCATAAAGTATTGTACTTCTTCCATCTGATAGACTCTCCATTCATCCTGGAACACACATCCTTTCTTCTCTTCACCATTCAAATCTTGACATTGTAGCTTAATTGCAGACTCCCATGGAGCCTTCTCCAGTAAATTAAATTCACACTTCTTTGAACTTCTTGTAATTGTAGTAAGAATTAGATTGTGTGTGATACGTTATATATCCCTTCATATGTTCTAGATTTCTCTTTTCAGCTAGATCCCAAGGTCCTTGAGAGGTCAAGCTGTGTCTAGTAATTCTTATTTCTGCCCAAAGATTCTAGAAAGTATGAAGAACTCATAGCTGCTATTCAACAAATACTAATTGGCATGCCCAAGAATGTATTTGGGAGCTCTATGGCCTAGTGGTAAGCAGTTGCTCCACCAGCCCAAAGTTGCATGGTTCAAACTTGCTAACTGATCCACAGGAGAAAAATGGGCATTCATTCTCCTCCTGTGTGATTAACTAAAAACCCACAGGAGGGTCAGCTATGAGGTAGTTACAACCCAACAGTACACAACAACAAAAATATAAAATTATATAGGGCTTTATACATTCAGAACATATTTAATATATCTTCCATGTAGTAGTTGTTATTGTTGTTGTGTATTGTCGAGTCAGAACTGACCCATAGCTGACTCTGTGCTTCGTTTTCAGAGGAAATTAATCACACAGGAAGAGATTACCCATGCTTATTCCGTGGAGCAGCTGGTGGGTTAGAACTGTGTGCCTTCAAGATAGCAGGGCAGTTTCTTACCACTAGGCCACCAGAGAACTATAAAACTGTGCTAAATTAAATTACTCTTTATCCCGGGCCATTCAGTCCATAAGGTTGCCAAGATAATTTTAGATTAGATCTTTGCACTCCATTCCTTAAACCACCCAATGATTTCCCATTTTATATAGATTAAAATTCAGAGTTCTTATCTTGGTTTATTCAACTCCATTTGATACCCACACTCAATATAGTCTAGTTACGGTGGCTTCTTTACTTTAAACAGATTAGCTCACCAGGCTTACTATTGGCATAGGGTCTCTGCATGGAACATTCTTCCTCAGGATCTTCATGTGACTAGTTCCTTTTTTCCATTGAAGAGTGAACATAAGGATTACTTTCATAAAGAGGATCTAACCAACTACTTAAAAACTCTTCCCTAGTCACACTTCATCATATTTTGTTTGTAGTATTTATCATCTCATTTTATCATGCACATTTATTTACTACTTATATATTGTCTAGGAAGCTCTCACAGCCTAATGGTAAGGAATTGCACTACCAGCCCAAAGGTTGATGGCATGAATCCACCAGTTGCTCCCTGGGAGAAGGATGGGTAATCTCTACCCATGCAATTCACGGCCTCTGAAAACTCACTGGAGGCTCAGCCATGAGTCTGTTCTGACTCAGAGGCAAATAACAACAACATATGGTCTAGTCTGTCCCCACCAGACTGATGTCTTCTTAAGAACAATTTTTTTGTCTGGCATGTTCACATTTGGAACCCCAGCTTCCAATAGAGACTGTTAACACATGTTACATGAAATAGCTGAGTGAAAACCATAATAAAGCCCGAAGTCTCCTGACTCCTAATCCAGTTTACTTCCCATCATGCCATTTATCCTGTATACCATGAGAACACTTCCACCTTTGCAACTACAGTAAGAGTGGATGTTCAGAATAATGACTTTAAGATGTGCTGTATTATCAAAGAAAAAATTTATTCAATTCAATAAACTAATTAAAGCAGAGATGTCATGGTATATTATTATGTTACATTAATATATTTTAGAAAATTTCCAACTAAAGAGAGTTTTTGCCTTTTCTTTAGTTAACCAGAAAATTAAATTAACCCAGGACTCTCTGTTCCCCAAAAGTCCTCGTTAATTAGGATTGTTCTGTAAACCTCTATTATTAGCTGAGTTTGTCATTTGTTTCATTGCTATTTAGTAGGACAGTCAGAGCAGTGTGTCTTTGCTCATATTCTGGGTTTTGTGTCCTAGTGAAAAGAACAAACTTTTCTCAGATTCACCTTTTTTTAAAAAAATAGGCTTATTTCATATTCTTAGTATAACAATTTAGTTTCTTTGTGTCAACTCCCTGAATAAATATTGAGTATCATTGAAGCAACTGTTAAGTAAAATAAGTTTGTTTTTCTTGTGTCAAATTGGAACCAACCCATAGCTGACCCTCTGTCACAGACAGTAAACTAACTGCACAAGTGGGTATTGTCCATCCTTCTCCCTTGGAGCAACTGGTGGGTTCAAACCATGTGCCTTTCGAATCACAGTGCAGTTTTTTTTACCAGTAGGCCACCTGAGCTCCCTAAAATAAGTTTGTTGTTGTTGTTATTTACCATTGAGTCAGAACTGACCCATAGCTGACCTTCCATCTGGTTTTCAGAGGCAGTTAATTGCATGGGAGGAGACTGCCCATCTTTCTCTCACAGAGCAGCTGGTGGATTTGAACGGTATACCTTTGGGGTTGCAGTGCAGTTTCTTGCCACTAGGCCACCAATGCTTCAAATAAATGTAGGCATTTTTAAAACATTCGTGCTTGTAACATTGCATGTGAAAGCAGAATATTGAAAACTGCCTAAAAGTCAATCCTAATAAATTTTAGTATATCCACACACTGGATCGTTTTGCAGCAATAAAAAAGTGATGGCATTCTCTAGGAACCCATACAGAAAGATCCCAAGAGAAAAATAGGAGATCAAATCTACATTGTGTTAGGCTTTTTGGTGAAAAAAAAGAGAGAGAGAGAGTGAGTGAGTGTGTGTGTGTGTGTGTGACTTGTATAGGAATAAATAAGTTTTAAAAAGAACTAATCCCAGAGAGAATAGAAAGAAAGAATTAGAAGCTGACTGAATGGAAGACCCGAATTGGGAGGGAGATTTTCTTAGCATATCTTTTCATATATAAGTACATTGTCTTTTTTTAAAGCAATATGTGGTTACATTTTTGTATTTCAATATACATGTACAAAGTGTATATAATGTTTTGTTTTCTTTTCTCTGCTTTTTGTTGTTTGTATAAACTCTCAGCTTTCATTTGTCCAAGGGAACTTCTGTTTTTTATTGAAACCCTAATGTCTAATTCATAAATCTTTCCAAAATGAAATCAACTCCTTTAATTATTACTTTGCAAGAATTTTCTTTTAACAGTCGTTCCTATACTCAATGAAAGCAAAATGCTCGAAAAAGAATTAGTAAAGCAATTCACAGAATTATAATTTGATGTATGTTGTTGTTTGCAACTGATTTGGAGCTGACTCTCCAGCTGGTTTTCAGAGACAGTAAACTGCACAGGAGCAGACTGCCCCTCTTTATCTCACAGTGCAGTTGTTTAATTTGAACCACCTGCCTTTTGGTTGGCAGCATGCCTCCTTACCCACTAGGCAACCAGAGGTCCTATAATATATACTGTTGTTGTGTACCATCAAGTCGGAACCCACCCACAGCTGACCCTCCAGCAGGTTTTCAAAGGCAGATAATCACATGGGAGGGGATTGCCCATCCTCCTGCAGAGCACCTGGTGGACTTGAACCACTTCAGTGCAGTACTTCTTGCCACTAGGCCACCAGACCTCCAGAATACAAAGTAGAGATTAAGATAATAATGTCAAGATTCCTAGGTTGATCAACAGTGCCATAGTTACCCAAAAGAATACCCTTGTTCTTAGAAATATTAACTGAAAAATTATATTAGTACCTTTTCTTGTTAATGTGCAACCCTGGTTGTACTTCCTCTGGGACAAATTCGGTTTTTTCCTCTGGAAGTTCGTGAGATATTCAGTCCTTTCCCTAACATCACAATTTGAAGCATTTGAATAACTTCAGTAACAGCTTTCTTATTTGCTAGTCAACATACTGTAAAAAGAGAAAAATGGGGGGGGGAGGGATGGGTGGGGAGAGAAGTGCAGCAATGAATGAATGAAAATCCAAAATCTCTGTAAATGCTCATTAAAATTCTTTTTAAAAATTTTTTTTAAAAAGAGAAAAATGGCTTTGCAAAAGTAATTAGATGACATTATTTATAATAAAACCAGCTACAATCCATAATCCTTGGCCTTAGCGTAAAGTATTGAAATATGAAAGAGTTGTTATATTGTTATTGTACCCAAGATTTCACTGCTAGGAATGCCCTCTGACTTGAAGCATTATTAGGGATCCATGCTATAATCCAGATAAGCATTTTCTTGAGCTTGAACATGTTCAAGCCTTTGTACTGTCAAAAAAAGTGGTATTGCTACTAAAATCATTTAAGAAAAGCAGAATCCCTAGGAATAAATCAAAACATATCCAGACGCTGTATACTAAAACACACAAAAATGCAATGTGCACAAGTAGATTGGCAGTTGGGTCCCCGAGTGCTCAGGGGCCAGATATGGAGCTCATGGTTGATACTTCTCTTTAAATGAATGATGAAAAAGCTTCAAAAATAACTAAGTCATTTGTTTGTGTATTGTTACCTAAATAATCAGTTTGTTTTTCTTTAATTGCAGAAAATGGTGTCACCACTTTTGCTGTGTTGGATCAAGACCAGAAAGAAATTGTTGACACCAATGGTGCTGGTGATGCATTTGTTGGAGGTATGAAGTCACTTATGTCACTGTCAAAATACCTGTTTAATCATTTAGTACTTAAGCATTTCCTTTAACCCTTCCTTATCTCTACGACCTCATAACCAAGCTACATAAATGTAATAGCATTTCATTTCTTCTTTTAAATAATTAACTCCTGGTGTTCTTTCTATGTGCTAATATCTGAGAGCATTATGAGATGATTTACAGGAAAAATATGTGTTTTGGCTGTGCAGATAATTTGTTCTTGTGCTGTACCCTACTCATTTTCACAAGATTAATTGTATCTGTCAGAATATTGCATAAACAAGCTGTATCAAGTACAGTATATAGTATATTCATAGCCCTTCGGGCTTAAATGTTAACACATTGTTGTTTTTTAAAACAAGCTGTGGTGAATATTAAACAATATGCTAATAAGGGTAATGTCTTTCAATTATATCCTTTGGTTAGAACATCTGTTTCTAACACAGTATTGGGTGTTAATTGTACTACAAAGAGTTAAATTTTTGCCTAGTTCAAACTCAGTAAGAACTGGCAAAATTCCTGAGGACAAAAATTGGTTTGGGAATAAGTATTAAAAATAATATCAAGACAATTGTAAGGTTCTTGGCTTAATTGTGTAGACTGATCGAAAATCTGGGCCAGAGATTCTTTTGGTGAGTCTAAACTACTTGTAGTTACATTAAGCTCAATTATGGTCTCCAGAAAGTTTTAGATTTCCTGAATGATCAGAGAGTTCCTCTTAAATGTTGTTTCTTTCTCATAATATCAAACAAGATAAAGTTTAAAAAAATATCTGAAGATGACCATTGTTTTCCTTTTCCTGGAGGATAATTTAGTTATTGGAAACTTATTTAGCTTCATGTGATGGTATTAATTTAACAGTAATCATGAATAAAATATTCTCCTTTAATAGCTTTGCCATCAACACATTTTGTCTTTCTTTCCTTCTTTGAAACTATTCATGATTAGTCTTTTTTTTTTCATGATTAGTCTTAAATGAACCATTAACTTGGTAGCATATCCCTTGCCTTATTGTGAAGGAACATGTACTGCAGATGATAGTCACTTTTACTCTTATACTTTCTTTTTTAAAAAAAATTTTCTTTGCTCTAAAAGGCCTTGACATTGATAATATTAGAGTACTTCACAGTTAATTTTATTATTCATTAATGCTTTAGTGCTGTAAATTCAGGTAAGCTAAAAATATCTCATTCAAAATTGGGCCAAATGGTGCAGTTCATTAAGGAAACACTATTGATGTCCTGGATAAAATATTATGAAACCAGAAATCTTCATTCAGAATCTACTGTACCTTTCAGACTTGTAATTTGTGTCCAGTATTTGCATTTTTATATAGTTAAAACTATGAATTTTCTGATGATTTTTTTTTAACATTCAACTGGCATATAATGAGGTCATTCTAGATAGGCTGGTGACCCAGTTAGTCACTACACCTTGGCCTTGCACCAAGTAACTCGTAACTACTTACCTGTCATGCCATCGTTACTAGTAAAGAATTTAAAAGTTTTTTGAGAGCAAGAAAAACCATTCTTAGGTAAGAACAGCTGCCATTTGTTCTGTGCTTGGGATGATAGATGAGTTACCTCATCAAAACTCTGAGGCCTTTTGTTAGAGGATTTTCAGCATCTTTCTTTTTATCCTACTTCATCTACTGAGTCTCATTATACTTACTGTTACAGTAAGATGAGGTAAGAAGGAAAAAAAGATGAGGTAAGTAAAAAAGAAAAGAAAATGTGGACCAGAGATCAATAAAAGGCCAGATAGTAGATCTTTAGGGAACTCTAATGGGGGTCCTCAGTTGCTCATATGGCTTTTGAAGGCCTGTCATTTCAGAAGTAGATGGCCAGTCCTTTTTTTCTAGTCTATCTGGAAGCTTCCCTGATATCTGTCCACCATGAGTGGCCATCAATAAGATAGACTGACATGGTGACAGTAGCCCACTCAAGTATGTCAGAGATCATGAGGATGGCACAGGACAGGGCAGGTTTCAGATGCGTTGATCGTAGAGTTGCTGTGAGTTACACTTGACTGGACAGCATCACCACAGCGACTAGCAGAGTGGTCCCTAGGGAGTGGTGCTGCTCTTCTGAAATCCACCCCTCTCCAGGTCTCGAATTCTCAGAGATCACCATAGGAAAAAGGTGACAATCTCCTGTGCACTCAACAGTGTTAGAAATCCAAAGGAGAGTCAGAACTGACCAAGGAGAGTTGGTTCTGGCTGGATGGCTTGGAAAGCTTCATCTGGGCTGTGATTCATGTTGCTGTGTGTTTGCTTCTTGTTATTTTGGGGTTTTGTTGGGGTTTTTTTCTTCACATGGCTTGCTGACCCCCTTGTGTAGAGTTTCAGTAGTGTCCTAACTATTCCTTCTTATCATGTCAGGACCTAAACACTATATACTGTAGAAATTAACATAGAGAAATGGAAGACAGCCTAAAACTTGGCAGAACTTTACTGGCAATAGTTTAATTAGATGGCCATTTTTCTCACTTTAAACCTACCCTGATCAGTTCCCAACATAGTCAGGTCCTAAAATTATGATCGCACTGTCTAAAACACATTTGCAAGAGACTGAAAAGTCTAATGCCAGTTTATCAATAACATACTTAAGTTGGTAAATCCATGCATTTTGTGTAAGTCAAGCTATATACAAATCACAACAGATAATGTTTATTTAGAAGATTATCAGTGATTTCTTTTCCTTTAGTTCCACCAGCAACATGCATAGTAGCAGCAATCAAGAAGATATCAGCAAATCTGTCCTCAAGGCTCTTTTTAAAGTGCTGAAGAGCAAAGATACCAGTTTAAATACCAAGGTACATTTGATCCAAGCCTCAGATGTATATGAAAGTTGCATAGGTGACAGTGAATAAGGAATACCAAAGAAGAGTTGATACCTTTGAATTGGCGAGATGTCAAAGAGTATTTAAGATGCCATGGACTACCAAAGGAACAAACAAATCTGTCTTGAAGGAAATGCTCCATGGATGGTGAAACTCTGTGAGACACTTTGGACATGCTGTTAGGAAGTACCAGTCTTTGGGGGTCAAACATTTATGCTTAGAAAAGGAGAGGGTCAGCAAAAGAGAGGAAGATCCTCTTCAAGATAAACTGATGTGGGGCTGCGGCAATGGGCTTGAGCATGGCAGAGATTGTGCAGATGGTCCAGGGTGGAGCAATGTTTCCATCATGAGATCTTCCAGAGTAGTCAACTCAATGGCACCTAACCATAAGACCACTGTTATTTTTAAGCATCTTACGTGCATCAATTCATTTCATCCTCAGAAAACCTCTTTGAGGCAGGTTCTTTGTAACCCTTTTTTGCTGACAGAATGTTGAGACACAGAGAAGTTGAGTTACTGTCCAAGTCTTATAGCTGGAAATTTACAAGAATTCAAACTCAGACTTTCTAACTGAGAATTAGAGTGTTTGTTCTTTTGGTTTTTTGTTTGTTTGTTTGTTTGTTACCTACTGCATTATACTGCTTCTCTCAACATTTAGAAGAATGTTATCGTTAAGATGTAAGAGGCACAGACCAGCTTTCCTGACAATGGCTGATCTTGTCAAGGAGAATCCTCATTACCTAAATTTTTTAAAATAATTTTTTTTAATTCCCATCCCAATCAATTCAAAAGCATAGAAACTGTATAGGACAGGATAGAGGCACTCTACAGGCTTTCCAGCACAGGCTTTTCCAGTAAATCATTTTGGAAGAAGACTGCCCCATTTTTATCCCAGATACGGGTGGGTACAAGCCACTAACCTTTCACTTAGTTGTGAAGCAGTTTAACCACTGGATTTTTAATACCAGAGTAAATTACTTCATTTATTGAATAAAAGCTTTGTGATAGAGTTCTGAGAAGTCCACAGTAAGACTGTTGGAGAAAACCTTGATCAGGTTAGACCAACAGCTTTTTGTAAAGTGATAGACTCAGTTGCACTAGCATGAGAAAGAAGGACTGCAAACTTGCTTGATCAGCATGTTGTTGTTGTTGTTATGTGCCATCGAGTCACTCGCGACTCATAGTGACCCTGTGTACAAGAGCCCTAAACCCTGCTCTATCCTGTACCAATCTCATTGTCTTACTCCCATTACCCCAATCACTAAGTTGATCTATCTCATCGAGGGTCTTCCTCTTTTGCACTGTCCCTCTACCCTCCCAAATATGATGTCCCTCTCCAAGGACCAGTCCCTCCTTGCAACGTGCCCAAACTACGTCAGACAAAGCTTCATAATCCTTGCCTCCTAGGAGCAGCTTGGCTTCACTCTCTCCAGGATGAACCTGTTTGTTCTCCTAGCAGTCCATGGTGTATTCAATACTCTTCTCCAGGACCACAGCTCAAAGGCATCAATTCTGTTTCTATCATCCCTTGTCACTGTCCAGATCTCTGACGCATATCATGCAATTGTGAAGACTACGGCTTGGATCAGGTGTACCTTAGTCTCCAGCCTCATGTCATTGCTCTTCAGTACTCTGGAGAGGTCCCTAATAGCTGACTCAATGCAATTCATCTCTTGATTTCCTGGTTACTAGTACCAAGAGTATTGATTGTGGACCCAAGCAAACTAAAACTGTTAACAATCTTGATCTCTTCACCATCCACAATGATGTTGGTCCAGCGGTGAGAATCTTTGTTTTCTTGATGTTGAGCTTCAATCCATATTGAAGGCAGCAGTCCGTGACCTTCTGCAGCAAGTGCTTCAGCTCCTCCTTCGTTTCAGCAAGCAGGGTTTTGTCATCTGCATAACACAGGTTGTTGATGAGTCTACCTCCAATCCTGATGCCACACTTCTCCTCATAGAGCCCAGCCTCCTGGATAATCTGTTCTGCATATAGAGTGTAAAGATAGGGAAATAGGACATGTCCCTGGAGGACACCCTTCCCAATTTTGAACCATGCAATGTCTCCTTCCTGTGTTCTGACGACTGCTTCTTGGTTCAAGTATAGGTTTCACATAAGTACAATCAAATATTGAGGGGTCC